TCTCTCCAGCGGAGCTCTCATATTTCCTTATAGCCCCAGCAAAAGTAGATTTCAAACATTCTGTGGGACTTGAGTTTCTCCTTCAATGCTCAGGTTGACCCACCCCAATGAACTTTTCCCAGGAGGGCCTTCCCTTCAAACTTTAAAACAACAGTAGTGCTGTATTACTGCCATATCTTAACATATATAATTTCAGCTCCAGGATCAGAGTGGGAAGTGTTTCAGAAATAAGAAGATATTCAAATAACACGTGTGTGTGTATGCATACATACTTACATGTCTATCAAACACAGAACATATCAAATATACTTTTGCATAGTTTTCACAAAATTTTAAACTATCTCCCTGATTGCACCTTCTAGATAGGCTATGCTGGTGCAATATCCCATTCAGTGTGTGGTGTGATCGTGTAAAAGTAACATCGTTCCTTGCTGAAAGAGATATGCTCATTCTACTGAAGTCAGCGACTACCTGAAGTTTCATCATAACTTTGAACTACAGTAATGCATTAGAGCCTGGTTTCTACACTATTTCAAGTATAAGGCTTTGATTGATGCTAATCAATTTAATACTGGAGAACAGCACAGAAAAATAACTAGGCACATAGTAAATAGGATATATGCTTTGTTTTCTTCTGTAGAAATCCCTCTCCAGAACAAGATCTCTGGCCCAGGCTGGTCCATGACCCAATCCTCAAAACACAGCAGAATCAGGTACTGCAGGTGAGCCTGGATATGTTTGTCGACTACTCTTGATATCTAAACAAATCACAAATGTGACAATGCAGACCAAATGAAGCATAAACCTGTGTACATTCAAGAGCACTCAGTGTTCTGTTCCCCACCAGCCATGTCCAACCCATTGTCTGTAGGCTGCGTTAGGCCTTGGACAGCTGGTAATGTAGCCCCACAAGATTGTAAACTTTTAACAAGATTATGTGATTTTTAATGATATTTCTCAGGGGGCAGTTTTCTTCACCATTTCTCAGTACCTATTATACATCATAATGACCTATTTAAGATTTTTAGAGGTCCAGAACTTGAGTTCCATATCCCTCAAAAAAGAATGTATATTGCCTGAAAAGTCACTTAGACTTTCTGTATATACAATGAGAATACATAATCATAGGATAAAGAATGAGGAAAGGTATTTGCCAATAACTGAAGCGGGGGCTGATAAGCTGAATGATGCTTTAAATTCACAAATTCATTCCTTGAGGTTGCTTGCACATACTATCTCAATATTACCCTCCTACCCCCTTCATTTTATAAAAAGAAGCTGTAATAAATTAGAATTTTATGAGTCTCCAAATAAAAACCTACTCTAAAATTGAAAACAAAACATGGTCGTAGAAGCATATGGAAAGCTTATGAGAGGAGGCAATAAAAAACCTGTCCCACTCTTTCTTGTTTTTTTACAGACCAAAAATTACAAGAGACAGATGAAGAAGTTTGCTGTACAATAGAGTACAGGCACATCTCCCAGAGAAGAGCCATTATAGTTTCCTTAATCATTCCTTTAATACAAGTTAGCCTAAGAATAACTAGTCTTAAGATCCATCTTCTGACTTTCTTCTTTAAAATATTTTGAAGTTATATATGGAAATGAGATACCTTCCTACTTTGATCCTTAGCTTAAGGGTAACCAAGCTGAAATGGCTTCCTGGCCTTTCATAGAGTTTTCTTTGGAATTGAACACTGGGCCCTCTGAATTTTGTTACTAGCTTTTTAAGAGTTTTATGGATAAAAGCAGGGGTTTTATTTTACTTATTTAATTATTTATTTCACTTTTGTTCCAAGCCTCAAAATGATTAATTCTGGTCACTGTATACACAGTTTTATTTCAATCATTTTTTTTCCATCATTTCTGCCATCATTACCATTCCCTTCTTCCAGGATAGTGTGGGTACAGGAGCAGCTATTAAGGATTCTTTTCCTTTGTTTTTAAATACAGTACTCCACATTCCAGACATTTCTACCAGACACAGTGGTTTGGAACTGAAGACCACTGCAAGCAATGAAGTTTGGGTCTGGATCTAAGCTATTGCAAAATACTTAGAGAACTTTTCAGATTGTCCATCTCTAAGTTGGCCTAAATTTGAGGACTAAGCAAAGAGGATATTTGTGTAACATCTTAGATCAGTAGTGAGAATTCTATCGTATATTTTGTTCTACGGGAATAATTACAGATTCCATGTTCAGTGCCTAAGTAAAACCTATAAAATGCTAATTTCCACTTATAGAGGACAGAAGTGATACCAACCATACACAGATAGTACTCTATTGGCTTAAAAGTATATTGATTTGACATTTCTGGTAAACTGATCAATTGTGAAATGGTTAATGGTGGCAAATATTGTTACCCTTGTTTCTGATACCCAGTTAAATACCCAGTTCTGATACCAGTGTTCAAAATATGAGCAATAGATGGCAAGGATTGCTCATCATGCCCAATCCCTCAGCTGTTAAAAACAAATGAATTGTGAAGAAACGGTGATAAAATGAAGGTGAAGACATTCCATATCAGTGTGGGGGAAGTGTATTTACAGAATAGACATGCCTATGGTTTGGGGAGGTAGCATTCATACAGAGAAGTTGCTGTAAAGGCTTTGTGCCCAACAAATTCACTCAGACTTTGAAGCAAGAACTTCTATATTAGCACATGAAGAATATCTGAAGTGATCTGGGCTTTTGCATCTTTCTTTAGCAATAATTTTGCTGAAACTCAGGACTCTTCCCTGAGTGACCTATGACTTAATCAAACATCAGTGAAATGTCATCCTCTCTAACAACAAAAAAAAAAAAGACAACAAAAAAAATCAATTTTGTGCCATACAATTCACTAAGAGACCTCAGTGGCATGCTGTTTTGTGGTAGCTGAGAAGAATGAATACTATCCAGTCTTCTGTCATAATAGAGAATAATAAAGAGAAAAAAAGTTATTTAGACATTGAACAGGATTCCGTCTGACTTCTATTTCACCAGAGTTTTGAATGTCCCTTGATTTTCTGTCTTTTCCTTTTTTGGCTCCTACCCGTTTTTCCCACTGTACAGTTCCACTGAACTATTTCAAGAGATTCTCCTTGGATATCTACAGAAATGGTGCTACTTCACAGTTTTCATCTGTTTCCAGATATTGAACGTCCACACTGTATTCAAATAAATCAAAGATAGACCATCTGAAAAACTCAGCTACTGAACCAACATGAACTCTTCACATCTTTCAAAAGCTCTCAAAAGATGAACTTTAGCAGTTTATCAGGTTAATATTATTTACAAGTTAAATTCTGCTTGATGTTAGGGATTTGAAAGTAATGAAAAAAGACACATTTTCATTTCATTCTACAGCTACTGCAGTCTATGTTCTGACTTTCTCAATTCTGGAATCCATTAATAATGGATATTTTTTCCACTGTAATTATTTTGTCACACAGCATACTCATACCTAAGTACTGTCACAAAGAGGAATGCTACAAGGAAAGTCAAACCGCTCTAAGGATCTCTTAATGTCTTCTGGATCACAATCCCAAACAAATATCCTTATGAAGGATGGCACCTAACCAGACTTCACACCTTTCTATGGTATTTTCTATGGTGGTATTATCTGTCAACAAGTCCCCTTCTGAGACAAAAGGCATTCCCAACTAGTGTCAAAGGGAGGAGCATCTAGTGAGAACTCCCTAAGAGAGGTTAGCTAGAAGTGTAGCTTTGTGGAATATCCCACAGTTCCTCATGGCAAATCCTGCCTTTTTATGCAATTTATTTTGCCTGCTGCCCTGAACATCCATATTTCCCCCACTCCTCTGTATGGGAGATGTAAGACAAGTCTAAACACAGCTGTCAAGTTCTAAAATCAGCATCAAAGCTCAGTAAAAGCAAGAGAGAAAAACAGTATGCTTTGTTAAACAATACTGCCTCAGATCTTAAAGGGTTATACAATGAAAGTAATACCCCCTTTGAGTTCTGTATATGGCACGCATTACCTAACATCCTTAGTCAGAACCCCACTGTTTATGAGGTGATGAGAAAAGAATACAGCTCCCTCTTGTCAGTAGGATATCTCTACTGCCCTGCAGGAAATTTTTTCCTTATATTTCAGATGTATTGAATCTTCTGGACTTCAGAAAAGTAAAACATGCTCTGTGCCCTCTGGAGCCATCACCTTTCTTGGTCAGTTCATAGGTTCGCTAAGGTCACAGAGAACACCCTTTTACATCATAAGTTGTACCTTCAGGCTGTTTTACTCCTCCACAGGAATCCGAAGGGATTTAAACAGATTTATCAAAACAGAAATGGCAATATTTATGTTTGGAAACATCAGGATTTATAACATTTCTTATTTCTTTCCTTCCCCGTTGACACTGATTCCCAATTGCTGAGCTATGTGAAGAAGTTTAAAAGTTACTTCTCACGAAAAAAATCTGCCTGCTAAGTCACACCCCCTTCCTCTTAAACATTTATGCGTTACTACTGGGGTTAGTGCAGCCACTCTGTATATAAGTAATATTAAAAAAAGGTATATTTATGTGTTTATGGGGTCGTTTTATGCAACTATTTTATTTTATAAATATCAATTTTTAAGGATAATGTGAAACCTTGTGACGATCTAATCAAATTGTCTATATAATATAAGCCACAAAATATACTTTTTCTGTTGGGATCTTGACCCCAGATTGCATCTTTAAGCTGCAGCAAAGTTGCAGAGAGGAAAAACAAAACAAAAACCTTTTGCTTGAAAAATGTGCGTTCTGTCAGTAGAGCAGTCAGGCAGAGTGAAGATGTCTCCTTACACATTCTGCAGGAGCCTGGCCCTCTCTCGAGGTTCTTCTAGGAAGGATCAGTGTGGATTTAGTCTTCTTGGACTAAATGTTGGCACATTCTCTTGGCACAGAAATAACAGATTCAGAAAGAAAAAGAAAGTTATGGTAAATGGTACGACAAAATTTTTATTTTTTTTATATATATATTTATTTATTTTTAAGTCTTAACAGCCAGGTGAGTTATTGCACTTTTGGCCCTAAAAGGTCTCTGAGTGGGAAAATCAATATCAAGCTCATCATTTGCTGGTGTGCAGCAGGTCAAATGATGCCAGAAATGCATTTGGTAATGATGATGTTGTTGAGCTGAATGAGGATCTACTCCTTTATCACAGCCATGTATAAAACACTTTCTGCTGCCACTCCATTTCAGCTGACACTTTACTTTTTACTAGATAACAGGGTGTGTTGTACTCCATACTGCAAGTATGAGCAAGGAATGGGAAATACTATAAACACTGAGCTAATGTTACGGTATATTCCTGAGAAAGGGGAATGGTTTTGCAACGATCACAGCATGCAGTCCTCACTTCAGATTATAACAGGAAAACACCTCAAGAAGGGAACAGAAACAAACTTAAGACTAAATAACAATTTTTCTCCTGTAGTGAGGTACAGCTGAAGGGACATAAATTCTGCTCCTCCTGATAAATTACTCACCAAGAAACAAAACCAGTTATCTAGCAGCCACAGGCTGTCATGTAGCAACAAAGAGAAGGAGACCACCACCTGTCATTTTGCCACAACATAGCTCATGCTGTTTTTCCTCAGACATACATAAAACCTTCAAGGTGAGGGATCAGCTAAATCATCAACTGGACATGGGGATAAGGAATGGAGACACACCTGAGTTACTCAGCAAGTAAAGGCAGCTTCATGAACCTCCATTGTGAGGAGAATGGGAAGGAAGAAAGGCATTTTAGTCTTTAGTCAGCAAGACTGGCATCTTCGCTGGTCTGCAGTAATTCAAGTCTGGACAAATAAAAGAAAATAAAAAATCACTTTTTAGCAAAAAAAAAAAAAAAAAAAAAAAAGACTACTATATGGCACCATGGTTTCATATATATACACATATATGTATATGGCACCCCAGGCCAACAGCCAAATAAACGTGGGATACAAGTATTCCAGAAATATACACCCTTTCCTCAAAGTGAGCCCTTCTTCTTTCCTTTTCATTGTGAAACTCATTCCCCTCACCAGAGAGGGGTTGTGTGACTGTGAGTTCCCTGGGACAGTTTCCCTATTCATGACACCATACCATGGGCAGCTTATCTTTGTAAAAATGCCTGGAGGTCTATGGAGGAAAAAAAGAAAACACCCATTCCGCCCTTACTACCTCATGCTAATGCTTGGCTAAGCTTGCAGTTCTCAGCCTAGCTTTTGCTGTCATACACTGTTTGAGCACAAGCAAATTCCAATCCACTCCTTTTCCTGAGGCTCCCATTTATTTAAACAGGTGGGACCAGAACTGCTGCACTTCCCAAAGTGCTGCTGCAGCTGAACCAGCTTATATAGTAATTCTACAGGTATCAATTAAGAACAGGCAGAAGTGGTAAGGGCAGTGCAGCAGCAGCCATTTCTGGAGCTTTGGTGCTGGCAAAGTGAAAAGGAGTTCTTAGCTATTCTGTAACTTTCTTAGCTTAAAAGACCCTCTAGCCAAAAGACCATTAGCTGGAATTGTTGCATAAACTTAATAACAATCTTTTTTTCATTTAAGGCTGTCCCACCATTCTATTATCTGTCATTAATTTTCCATATGTTCCCCTCACCACCGCTCCTAGGCTGGGTTCAGTTTACAGAGTTGGATCAGATTTCTTTACAAGCCAGGACATTTGCTGGCTTGCTTACTAGCTTGAGGCCAGTTATGTTTGAGTGAGGCCCAAGCAAAACAAGTGAGATTTGGTGACTTTCCAGAGAGTAGGCACCAAACTGACAAGATCTGAGATTGTTGTTTTTTAAAAGTTGAAAAATTTTAAAGTAATAGCTTTTCCATGAATTCAGACAATCTGATTAAAAAAGAAAAAAAAAGCTGCTGGCTAATACTTAAATATTGCAGCATCTCTCTGCTTCCTATAAAGCACAGCTTCTGGTTCTGTTTTCTTTGCACTTAAAGTAAGGCAACAGTTTCTTTGTTATCTATATTTTTAATCACAGATGGGAAAATGCACCAGTACCTTGGGAGAAAACAAACTGATGAGAACAAGATCAGCAAACCATTTTTCCCCACTATTTATGCTAGATAACAAAGTCTACTGTTTGTAGCTCTTTCTCTAATAAGCATTCAGACTTCATGTAAAACCCTCCTCTAATTCAGTCCTGACTTCTAGAAACATTTCTTACACCGTCACATTGAATCAAGAAAAATAATTTAGTGTCCTTCCGTCCAAGCCTTTACACCTAATTGTCACTGATCTTCTAACTATATCCACTGTTATTCCACTCCTTTGTTCTCTCTGTTTTTAGTTTTATTATTCTACATCTGAATTATATTCTAAATGCTTTTGGATAAGGACTACTGGAAATTGCCAAGAATATCTGTGGGCCTTATGTGGAATTTCAAATGCAATTTGAGACTGAAGGACGTCCAGACCTTTGACAGTCTCCCATTGCATACTTCCCACTGTATATTCACAGAAAGGAAGGTAGCAGAACCAGGGTACAGACCAATGGATATTGCATTTCAGGCTGAGTCAAATACAGAGCAGCACACGAATATCCAGTAGTTTGAAATTATCTTGAATAAGAAGAGATTCTCACAAAACATTACATTTTATTAGGGATGGACAGCATATGTGGCAGGAGAATACCCTGACATTTTGAAAGTGGTAGGATTTTTTTTATTAGCATCAGTGTGATAACAGAACAGAATAGAATAGTTCAGTTGGAAGGAATCTTCATAGATAATCTAGTTCAGCGGCATTAGTGTGTGAATTTAGCTGTTCCAAAGGTATTCCTCTGGTTTTGCTCCATGCATTTAAGCACTGTGTTATAGATGTTGTAACAGACAGCATGCAAAAAGTTATGCAAATGCTAAAAAAAAAAAATCATGTAACCTACATTCTTAATATTAGTTGTACTTATCAAGGCAAGAAAGAACAAGGCATGGTAGTGCTAAGCATTTACTGACATACAGATAAATATTCTGGTCTGGACACGAGCAGGATTTTGGCCCCACAGTGCCAAAAAAATTGCTGTTCCTGACTCCTAGGTGTGTACCTGCCTGGCGGGATCCAGAGCTTGGGCACTGAAGAATGCAAACATCCCAAACAGCAGCTACCCAAATTAGCCATTAGGAAATGCTGAGGAAATTGGAATTATCTTAAGCCTCTATGGAATTTTGTTGCCTATCTCAAGTCAAGGATCTCCACCCTTCTCCACAAAAACAAAGAAAGAAGGTGCTGCTGCTGCTGGCGGCTTTGCGCAATAGGACTACAGCTGGGGTGCTCCCTCCCACTGCAGGAGCTCTGGGCTCCATTCCCTTTAGGTATGAAGGAATCTGTATTACCCACATCTGTGCTAAGAACTGCCAGGCTATAGGTTATCCTGATCTAGGAAGTTTCCACTCTTTCCTTCCAAGGCTGGTTCTTTTGGCATGTTTAGGAAATGAACCGAAGGAAATAAACCTAATCTAAGCCAAACATCATAGTGACTCCATGTTTTTTTTCCTTTCACGTCTATTCTTTTTGAAAGGGACAATTCATTGCCTATCTGAGGTTATTTACAAGGTCATAGAAACCACTTAAGTACTGCACCATCGCCATTTCCCAAATTGCACATGCTTACTTGCAAAACAAATTAGAGTTGGATAAAGAAAGGGTTAAACAAATAGTTGAAGACAGAAGAATGATCACAGTCAACTCAGGGCCATGTAAGGGTTCTGCAAAACAGAGAAGTTTATACCACAAAACCATAGGGACGTTTTTTTCTTATGTTTGTTTTAAAGTATATGACATGGATCAGAAGTGAAGGAGGCAGGAAGAGGGAGACATATAGGGAAGAACTCAGAAAGATTCAGTGACAAAAGGAAACTGATCAAGTTGGAAAAGGCAGATTTGCAAGTCATTAGCAAAAATGTAGTTGTTCTGTTATACTCTCAGTAGGCTAGGCAGAGAGCATAGAAGGGGAAGAGGAGAACCACACACAGAGCTCGCCAAGAGCCCTGCAGAGATCAGAACTATGAGGGAACCACCAACTATCCACCAACAGCAGCTAAAAGTGGAGCTGAATGAGAAAACAGAAAATTAGAAGAGAAAGTTGGGAAAGAACAGTCACAAAAGCAAAGAAAGAGTAAGATTTCAATGAGTCAATGGGGTAAACAGCATTAAAAGCAAGAGATAGGTAAAGAAAGATGAGGTTGCAGAACAGACCTATGTCTCGATCAGGAAAATCCCAGTGGGGAGTTAACTGCACACTATGGGTTTCTGTGCTTAGACACAAAAAGCTTTACAAACCAGACTGTTGGCAAAACTTAATGAGTCCCACGCTGGAATAATTAAAATAAAAGCTGTTCACTAAAGTTATTTTTGGTGGGCATGTTTGGATCAGAGAGCAGAGTTGTTGAGCACAGTCTAATACATGCCAAAAGTCCTATTATGAGCCTGCCACTGCTCTCTGCCATACTTGGAAATATCTTCAAAAACTGTGGTAGAGAATCATTATTGGCTTCACACGTGAAGGACAAACTAGAGTTACGTTTTAGTTGGAGGGTGTAGTGTTCCTTGTGAGATTTTTCTCCAAGAGGTGGGAGCCATCTTGCTTGGGCAAGGGAGATGTTTGTTCTCTGACAAACCTCAGAGTGGTCAGGAGACCGGTCTAAATTCAGTATTCCTAAGGGAAATTCCATACTTGAGAAATATCAGGAACAACAGCTTCATTTCATATTTTCCAGAGGAACCAGGATGTATAAGTCAACAACAGGTTATAACACATGGTTACTTCCTAACTGATGAAATGGGATGCTCATACCAAATATACTCTCATAACTGACATGGGCTGCCAAACCAGATGATGAAGTACTGAGATCCAATAGAAAAATATCACCTCTCAAGAGCACACCATTTTTGTTTTCTTGTAGTGGAGTTCCTCAAAGGATCTTGCAGAGAATCATGATGATTTTCTGGATATCTCTTCACTGCTGTTTTTCCCTGAAAAACACAGTATAAAAGCTGCTGTAAATGTGAAAATGTAAGACAAATAGAATACAAAAAACAAAAAAAACAAAAAAAAAAACCAACCAAACAAACAAAAAAACAGATCCCAAACAAGTGTAAACCAGAAATTTCAGAGGATTCATCATTGCTTGTACAAAAAATTGGTTGATATTTAACTGATTTCAAACTTGTGGAAACCTAGACACTAGGCATATAGCTTGTGAAATGACTGAAATAACCCTAAAGCATTGCAACTATCCCTATCAACCTACCAGGGACTTAGGAACAGAAAAGTAGAGCACATACCCAATTCTTTGACAGTTCTCCTGGTATGACCATTCCCACACTATATGTTTCTTCTCCTCTGCAATAGATATATGCCAGCAGCCTTTTCCTCAAAAATGTCGTCTTCTTTCAGCACAGCAGAGCCTGATGACTCACTGCAGGGCAAATTGCCTTCCTTTTCTCCATAGGTTATTTTTCCTTCAACACTGGACAATGTAGGTTGACTCTATTTGTTGTTATGCAAATACAATCTCCAGACAATAGCTTTCCAAATCAGGCTTTTACTGAGAAAGAAAAGAAAACAATCTGAGAAGGGCTTTAAAAAAGAAAAAGCTTAGATAATATATTCAGTCTTTTTCCTTTTTAGGGGTGTGGGGAAGCTATAATTTGCCGAATACTTACTATTTAAGCAGCTTAGATTTGCTTAGAATGTAACTCAGCCATCAAAGTGTTAACTAGCATACGTGTGAGAACTGAGACTGGGCTCTTGTGCGCTGTTGTATTTCTGTCATCTGAAAGTTAAACACCGGGTTAGGAAAATCCAAATGGCGGCTTCATCATCAGAATGACAGCAGAAAGAAAAATATTTGCACTTTTTTCCCCTCTAAGTAGAGGGTTGGAAGGGAGCATTTCTCTCAAGACATTCCTTTATCCTTTTGACAGCAAGCACTGCATTGCTGAGACTGTCTCCAGTCACACGTTACTAATGCCGCAGTTTCTCCTGTCTAGAGCCCATGCTGCAAATATTGTTTTTCCCAGAAATCACAGCGTTCATTGGCTTCATTTTATGGACACCAGACTCCCTGTCCTCTATACCCCTGCAAAAATCCAGGCAACTTCTGTTCAGTGGATCCCAAGAAGCTGAGCAGTGAAACTGCCAAAGCCAGGATTTGTACAGAGCTTGCAGAGTCAAAGTCTTTTTCTAGTTGCACTCAAGTACCTCTGTTATAGGTATCATGGGTATGGTTTTGTACATCAAAAAAATGATCTTAATAAGCTCTTTTTATCCTTTTTATTCAATATCTGTATCTGAGACTTTTGGGATGAAATGATGACTTCCTACTTCCTGAAAACAACCTGGGTTCAGAAACACTCTTCTGACAATGTTTCTCAATAATTTTTTATATAAAGCTCAATAAAAACAACCACATTACTTCCTTTCAAATCCTACCTTGAAATGCTCCTTTCCTGCAATAACCATTTAAGACATTAATGGCAGTGTGATTAGTGCTGAACTGAGGCTGTGTTGATGGATATCGCTGCCATTTGTACTCCCTTCTTTTCTGTCTCCATCTTCTCACTCTTGGTTTTATGTTTAGACTGTGAGCTCTTTCCCTCAGAGATTGTTTCTATGTTCTCATTTTGGACAGGAGCTAGCACCATAAGTCTCAGTGTTTCCCCAATATAAAGCATCAACAGGGAAGACAGATTTCCCTTGTTTATGAAATGACATTTTAGCTTTTGTTACACTCAGATAGGAGGAATGTTGTCTGTACAAGAGAGATGAGACAACAGTCTGAATTTTAATCTACAATGTTCAAAATTAGGAATGATTTTGAAAGCTTCAGCTTCTTACCTGAAATTTGAGATATCTGTATTAAGCTTTTTTTAATGCTTTTAATATAAAATATGACATGACATAAATACCATTTTCAAATAAATCTTCCCAATTTCTCTCTTCTCAGTTTCTCCTCCCTGAGAAGAGGTATTAATTATAAAATCTTCAGGGGTCCAAATTCTGTTCTCCTTGGCAGGTCTGCAAAACTACAGCAAGTCAAAGTGGAGCTCATGGGAGGAAAAACAGTATTTAACACTTATTCATCCCATTTCTGTTATATTCTTGTCTCTCTACACAAACTTCTTAAAACAACTTGCTCCAAAAACATAGCAGTGTCTGTTACCCTGTGCATCACTAGCAGCCGAAGGCCACGTCAGCTTAAGAATAGCCATGAAGAAACACACATGCTGCTCAGGTGCACCCTCTCACTACCAAGGGGCTATCAGCAGAAGTGATGCAGCAGCTCAGATATTGGACTTGACTTATATGATAAAGTTTCCAAAGACAGGCTGTCTGCTGCCTTTATTTTCACGCTGCAAAAATACGAGTTACTGTGGTAAAAGTTTCCATCAAAAAGTGAGAGATTCCCAAGCTGGGCTTTTGGAGGCTCTCGGTTCTCACTAGCAGGGCCTGCAGCAGCTGACCTCAGTGCAGTCTGCACAGCCTGGCTGCTGGGCTCCCACACTGAAACCAGCCAGCCAGTTTGCACAAGCCTCCCATTCTAAAATATGTGTAATTTATTTGAGCTGATAGAGAGGATAAGAATCAACTGTCTGTTTCCCAGTTAATAAAAAACATACAATGAGGAGAGAGCTCTGCCAGCATATCTTGTTTACCCAAAAATGTTTGGCATTAAATGTGAAATCGGAAATGAACTCATTATCTGATTATTTTCATTTTGAAGAATTAACTGCTTTGGGGGAAAGGCTTGTCCTAAACAGTCCCCTTGTATGGATGACTAATTGCAAATACATATCTGAGAAGAATACAGCAAGCTCTTGTGACTGCCAGGGTAGGATAGAACTCTATCAATTTGGACAAGAACACTGGGAGTATCCTCCCATGTGATGTATTTCAAAACAGGAGGAAAAGTGTTCAAGCAGCATTACGTCCATATAGATGAGAAGAGTTTCAGGAAAGGCCACGTTCTATCATTTTCATCCAGAAAAATGGAAAATTAAAATTAAAAATTATTTAAAAAATTATTTGTAGTACATCTGCCTCTTCCTCCCCTACAGTATAACTATATAGCAGACTGGATATTTATTACTTTCCAGTTATAAAAGTGTGTTGAAAACAGAATCCCTCAGTAGTATAAATAGGAGTACTTCAGTAAAAATTAAGACAGTTACCATTGGAATCAGATACTCATTCAAGGCTAACAAAATTTTAGGAAAATTTCCCACTCCACTGTAGAACTAACCTTAGACCACTCTGGATTAAGAGAAAACTGAGGTTAAGACAGCTCATGGGGCTGCATCTTTTTGCATTTTCTTCTGCTGTTTCTTTGTTCGGCTCTCATCTGCTTGAGTTCAGCTTTCAGTGTTTCTGTTTTTCCCTCTCCATATCTGACTCAACAGCTGCTGCTCCTTCTAGGCTTGCTGAGTGCCTCTTCTATACTCAAATACTGCTTTCTTTTCATACTGGGAACTGAAGTGAGTTTTGAAAGCGTACTATGGAGCCCTCCACTGTGTATCAGCACCGTGCAACTTAAAGTGCTCCACTGAATATTTGTCTCTTCCTTTTCTTCTCTGACTGAAATATCCCCATCCTCACATGCCCTGTGAACCTCTCCACAATGTGCATGACACGAACTTCCTTTTAGCTACATCTGATTCATTTTTTTCTGTCCAGACCATCATTAGATAGGCAAAAATGCATTGGTGTCAAGGGAAGTGGCAGGCCAAACATCCCAGCACAACTCTGGTCTGTCCAACAAGACAACATCACTTCATAGGCTTCCTACAGCCCACTGACCATGTGTAATATAGGCAGGGGCAGCCCAAATGCATTCTCTCTATCTCAACCAGTACAGAGAGCAGATATCCAAAGGCCAGCTGAATCACTGTGCACTTGGTCCGTACTACTCAGCTTGTGTTTCTGTGTGCTATAGCATAGATGTTCCCAGAGCTGATCCAGTTGGGAATGAAAAATCACCTTGCCAGGCTGAACACTGTTTAGGTCTCCAGAATTTTGCAGCTGCTATTTGTGATTCTTCCTCAGTCTACATTCTCCATTAGTTAGAGTACATAGGGTGGAGCCAACTCCCCCAACTGCGCAAATATAAGCAGCATTTTAGAACAAAAATGTATCATTGCAGATGTACCTCGTAAAAAAAAAAAATATGAAAAAAACTCTGAAAACATTACGTTCCCACCAACAAAGATACACATTCCCAGACTAATGCTGATGTGACAATTTCCATGTACTCTGGTTTCTTCCCTTTCACGTAGCAGTGCACACACCAGTGCTCGCCTTTTCTGCAACAGCTGGTCTAAGGCAGTGAAGGGTCACCAGTACTGTTCTGTTTCAGTTCCTGGAGGCTCCCTGCTCTGGCAAATTGCCACGCTTCCTGAGCAAGTCTGTCTTGCCCCAGAAAGAGAAGAAATATTCTGTATTTGAACTGTTAAACCTTCATTTCCTCTCTGAGTTGTCTCAGCATGAGTAGCATTTTTGAGTCTGTTTAGGTGTTTGCTCTTCTTTCTTCAAATCTCTGAAAGATCTTATTTGCACTGAAAGGGACAATTGAGCGTGAACTTTGTGAGTATGGCAAATGTAAGCTTTTAAGATAAGGTATTTGAGGTTTTCTTTCCATTAAACTATAGAAAGCAATTAACCAGAAAGTGTAAACAGTTAGCAAATGTGAACGCAGCGGAATAGGCTGTTTGACTCTCTTTTCATTCCAAATGAAATGGAAAAGAGAGAGTAATAACATTCTCAGAGGAATTTGTCACATGTGTTGTTTGTGCATATCTTTCACATCTTGTTCTTTCACAGCCTGTTAGATCCTGGAGTTGAAGGCACATTCTTCAACTTCCTTCTGTAATCCAGACCAAACCATGGCACCCATATCTGTGTTTTTATCTCAGTGAATAGTAAGGGTTCCACTGGCTTATTATTATTATTGCTACTATGTCTAATATCTTTTCTAGGAAGTTACAAGTTACATCTGCTCCCCACATTACTAAAATTGTACAGTGGTGCTGGTTGTGCTGGTTTCTATCACCCTTGATGTTGCTGTTACTGACACCTTTCACCACTTTCAATAGTGCTTTGAGTTTACCTCACTAAAGAAGGGAAGTCAAAAAAGTGACCATCACCTCATCAACATCACCAGCACTGATTAATGAAAGCAACTTATTGATCAATGTTCAAGCGCAGGGAAGAGCAAACTTGTTCTAGTACTTCCATGGATGCAATGCTACCTGCAGTCTTTTTCTACTGTTTCTGCTTTTTCATTATCTTAAATTATTTTGCTTTAACCTGATTTGGGGTTGGCAAAGATACTACTACTGATACTGTCACCTGCCCCCTTCACCTGTGAACAACATGAAACCAGCACAGCTTCTGATAGAATCAACCAAAGATCCCTGTTAAACTTCAACCCTCAGCAAGCCAGTTCATTTATTTTTAACACACAGTACTGTGTCACACTTGTACATGCAGCACAAAATGATTTCTTACCCTTGACTAGCCCTGTGCCCAGTTGCGTGTTTGTCTGTCTGCAGGGACAAATGGAGAGAAAGGGTATCTATTGTCAGTCATCTCTGTTAAAGACTGATCTACTTGCATAGTGTTAATAGCTTTGCATTTTTGTGAGCTTTAATCTTGAATATTGCATTTTGCTTTCCTGATAAAAATATTCTCAAGAATATTGTTCATTAGGACCTGGCATACTGCGTGATCAGATTCCAAATATGCTTTGGTACAGGAGATGCTTTCTTGTATCTTTGGGGTAGGGAGAAGTGTATGAATCAACTTTTCCATCGGTAGGCTTTACCACATCTTCTGGAACCACTCAGTGATATGGGTACATGGATTGATTTCCAAACTGCTGCTATTGTTCAAGCTTTCTGTGATTCTGTACCCATAACTGAATGCCAAATGCCCAGAGAAGGCTGAGATAATACTGAACCAAAGATGAAGCATACACTCTCTCATAGTCCTCTTTTTTTTTTTTTTTCTGCTGAAATACTAAAATAAATACTAAAAAAAGATTTGTTCCCCATTATGTTGCATACCGAAGTGTGTCTTTGACATTTTTGTAGATAGAGTATTCTTTTGTCTGTGTTAATCAGCTTCTTAGGGAATCAGGTTTATTCAAAATATAAGGCAAAGACTTCTGTGAGAAACAAAAACATTGTGTCTCAGAGAAGTATCATATAAACAATTCCCATTTGTCCTCAAGTTAATATGCAAGATGAGGATATGTAGCAGAGAACTTGTCAAATTCTACCTTAGGCCCTTGGGAAAATTATGTTACATTAACCCAACTCCATCTGCAGTTGGGAACTTGAGAGCAGCAGCAGAAATGGTCAACTAGTTTCCAGCTGAGTAAGCACACATTTAATACAACAGCTTGTTCTAATAAGGCATTTTTCTATGCTATATTAAGGGTCCATGCACAGTAAGCAGCAAAAAAAAAAAAAAAAAAAGCTGAAAAAAAGCTGATAAAGATTTACTGTCAGAATTGGAAACCTGTATGTCCTATGCTGAAGCATCACAAATGAAGCAAAATACCAAGAGAGACTAAGAGTCTGAATATTCTACCTCTTAACTCATGTCTGAGGATAGCACTAAAATAGTAAATTAATTGAATTTATACTGATGATTAGATGTGAGGTTAAGGGCATATGAAACAGATGCAATTATATGGATATATTAAGATGAGTACTGCTATTTTATGACACTTCAGAGTGCCCTGTGCTTTTCAGGGCAGGTAAAGGGCATGTAGCTTCTTCTCAAAAGAAGTTTTACAATCCATATTCACACATGATTAAATAACTGTACATGGAGACGAGGAATATGTGTAAATGTTAATTCAGAGAAATGCACATACACAGAGTAAATGAATAACTTGTCTTTCATAAGAGACGTAAATGAAGGTTTAAAAAAAATATATTTAAAAAGTCTTTTGGATATATCCATATGCAATGAAGATCGCAACAATATGAGATGTGCACTGCTGTTAGGTCAAGGACGCTTCTGAAAACATGCTCATTAGCCTTGATGAGATGAAGTCTATCATAAGTGTATGATGTTAGCAGTCCTATCACAATAGCATATACGTTGCACAGATGAGAGCTGTCATAAGATGAAATTCAATTTGGAAAAAGGCTTCTTAGTTTTAGACCAGACAATAGCAGGTTCCAGCCCCATTAGGTGGCTGTGGTGGCCATGGGATGTTAAAACACTGCACAGACTGTATGTCACCTGTCCATTTTTACTTTTTACTCATTTGTGCCTTCAGGCTTCCGACACTGACATCCTCAGCCCTTTCTGGTCCTCTGTACTGCCTGAATTTGTAGCTGCAGTAGAGAATCCACTTGATGTCTTGGTCCCAAGACACATTGTCTATCTATATTGTCCATCTATGTTTAAACAGCAAAAAGTTTTCCCCAGATTTTTGTATATCATTTCCATTTTAAGCCTATCTGCATTTTTTTTTCCCAAGTAAAATATAGAAATGACAGTGTGACTCTTCTGGGGAGGGGCTCTGCAGAACTGCATGATACAGTGATTATGAAAGGAGGAACTTGTACCAAAGCACAGCCTTTAACAAAGTGCCACCATCTGCACTGTGTCGCAATAAATGTTCCTCTCATTGATGCCTCACTTGGGTTCAGATATGAAGATGAATAGCCATTATTTATCCTGCAGTGTAGCTGCAACTCTGGAATTGCATAATTAGTATATTGTAGCCATCCCAGCATATGGGGCCTTCTGTTGGATTTTATGAACTTAAGAGGGCTGGGTCTGGCTGATAATTTGGGAAAGGGATGATAGGGGAAACCCCTAGCCCAGCAGGAACTGGTGTTTGTAAAACAATAGCTGGAACTCTAAATCACTGCTAAAGCAATATTCAAACATGAGTATCACAGGACACACTGTACTGCAAAAAGAGCCAGCTCCTGGATAAGCTGCACACATGGAGACCTAAGAAATGTTCAATTCCAAAAAAATTAAGAATCCTTCTATGCATATTTCAGGAATGAGATCAATACCCCCGGGGTGGTTTTAAATTTGGTAATTACATTTTGTTAGACTCCAGCAATTTTAATTGGATTTTAGCCCATTCTTCACTTTACTGTCTTCCACAGTGGAAGCACTACTTCCATAAGACTGCACTATTAACTAAAAATTCCCTATATTCATTTACAATATAGCAAATGAATGCTTTGGTTCCTGACTTAAGCCTTATTATCACGCAGAAAGTTTGAAAAGCCAGATAAATATGAAGAAATCAAGTCCAAGAGCTGTCAGATTTATTGAAATGCCATAAAAGAAATGATCTGTTTGAAGGAGGGAGGCAGACAGTCTGATTACACATGTAGTGTGATCACAAAGCCAGGATAAAAAGAGAAAAAAAAATGAGCTCACCTGTCTGCCTAGGGCCAATCTTCCTGTTTTTTAATGCAGTTCTTGGTCTTACTACCTGAATGAAGTCCTACTTGAAGAGAGCATGTCCATCAGGTCAGAGCTGTAGTCACAAGACTGCCTCTTCTCTCTTGCCACAGAAGGTTTTGCATTTCAGGAGTTGCTAGAATAATCCCTGCAGAAGGTAAACAAGACTCTGTTCAGCTGAAAATAATCAAATTTAAGATTTTAAGGAATACTGAGAACTGCAAAGCACTTCAGGTGAGAAGCTCAGTTTTGGGGAAAGATATTATTTGTTGCAGGGTTTTAAAAACAAGAACATGAATGGAGTTGAACTATTCCAAAGCCTGGATATTTTATGCACAATTAGCTTAATAAATAGAAAAATGTACAAATCCTGTCCTTCTAGAGCATTATAAAAATGGTATGACATAGGAGATTGATTTCCAGAACTCCCAGGGGTATTGTTCTCTTCTCTCAATGCATATGTCTAGGCACCAAGGGGACAATATATATGTCAGTATAAAGTACATGATCACAACCTTCTGAATTACAACCCCCTAATTAGCATCCCTGTGTCAATTATCCCATTCAGGATGTCAAATATTTCACAAGGATTAAATTTCAAAATACTCAGAGAGACTGATATATAAAATCCCAAATGGCTGCTGAATGGTATATTAATGTTATTGTACCACATCTAACAGGTAAAAGATTAAAAAGCCTTTCACACACTTCTACAATGGCAAAGGTACCACAGTTGCATCTGTACACTTCACTTCTGGGGATACCCACTGTGCAAAAGGGGGAGAAAAAAATGTTTCATTCAAGCATTTTCCTTTTCAAAATAGTAACAATGTTGTAATTCAATACCCACACTGAACCTCTCTGACTCCTGAATCCAAAACTGCAGGGTAGGGGAGAGAGAGGAGAATGAGTGGGCTCTGCTGTGCCAACGTCATAGCAACCTTTGCTTCATGGCTTGTGCCTCACTGTCAGCAGGCAAAGAATGCACACGTGTGCAGCCAGAGCATAAACGTATCAATTTAGAAGTGTTTGGGCTTCCAGATTAAATCAAACTTCCTCTAAGAAATCTGGCTTTCTCAATATGCATTAATATTCCATTTGTAAAACAAACTTGGGCTCAGTCTATTATAGGATGTAGATCTCCAGGTGAGCAAAATAACCTTGGGCTGATCCATCAGGGCAGAAACACACAACTAAATTAAAATCTCTGTGTAGTCCCCAGCCTGAATTGTTTGCAGGAGGAAGATGAATGAGTGAATCAAGATCTAAATTATTTTACATCTAAGGCAGCTTTAATGCTTCACAAATTGAAATCTTTTAAAGTTTAGTGTCTAGTTTAACTTGTTAACCTTTCCTTTAGTTACCACCTTTTCACTGTCTCTTTTCCACAGATGTCTCAATCAAAAGGCAGTTGCATTAAAATGAGCAAATTTACTGACTGAAACCAGAACAAAGAACCTTAATTGACTATTGAAGAAAATGCACAGAAAACAACTCTTAAGTTCAGAATTGTAAATATTATGTCAGAAACAGAGCCTTCACAATGACACTTCTCTATTTTAGATAGAAGCAAGAACTAGCAAGCCTAATCGGCTCAAATTTTGTCAGTAGACCACACAATAAACTACTCTTGAGCAAGCAGCAACCCAAAAATTAGTCCCAGAAATGACTGAGGAAATAATTTCAAATATCAAAGGGAAAAGGACTGTGTTTGGCTGGAAAGAGGCAAAATGTAGCAAATGAATTGTTTGTTTCAAAGAAATAACCAGAATCCTACCCAAGGGATTGCTTCTTGTACTTCAAATGTGTTGCAATGGTACATGACGTGATCTGAAGGTATCAAATCAGAAAGAAGCACATTGTAATAAAATAAAAAGGTCTAAACTACAGTGGCTCTTAAGATCTCTGGCCAGCCTTGAGGAAGAAAGGGGGAGGTGGGTGGGGAAGAAAAAAAGAAAAAAGAGAAAAAAAAAAAAAAAAAAAACAGAAAAATCTCAATGAAACCACAATGCCTCAAGCAGCTTTACACATTCATAAACTACATTTTATCAAGTAATTTCAATGGCATTTTCAAAGTCTAGTAGTCAAGCTCCTGCTGTCAATTCTCTCTGTAAGTGGGAACTCTCTTTATCCCACTTCTGTGGAAGCTGTGATCCATTGAAGACAGAGAATCTTTTATTAGATACATGCACAGTGAGAAGTGCAGAGGGACTCCTCCCTGTCCTCTCACCTCAAATCAGACAGTGAACACAGTACTAATACAAATAATAAGCAACCGCTGGCAATAAAATATTTCCACATAAAAATGCATCAAATTTCCAGTTATCTTATATTTGCTTTTTCATACCATCTCTAGTAACAAGAGCCATTTGTATCACTTTCACCCTATCCCAGCCTTTTAATTTTTGCCTAAATTCATTGATTCATCAGAGTGTGATACTCTTTAATAAGCCAATCTAATTTCCACCTCCTAGAGCTCTCCCCCGCAATCCCATCTTCCACGTGTTTCAGCTTTACTTTGAAGTGACTTCCTTGCCTGGCATGCTAAAATCCAGGAACAAAGTGCCTACCATTATGACTGCAGTTCATGCCCTGACTAGCCACAGCAGCAGCAGAATTAGACTATAATCTCCTAAACAATGTAGAATCTGTAAATCAAAACCAACCAGCTCCCTTTGGCGTGTAGATCACTGAACCTGTGGGACTATGAAAATCAAAATCACTTTTCTAAGGTGAAATAAACCTTAGCATATGGATTTGTTCAGCTTGGATTCTTCTCTCCTTATCCCCAAAAGCTATTCCATCCGAAAAAAACAGCAACTTTTTCTGAACCAGAGGGCAAAATAGGCACATGTGAACATAAGCATACAGGCAGTACAGAGATTAAAAACAACCTACCTTCAGTACTGCCCCGCCTAGCCTTCTTGATGGTAAGGATGTTTGCGTTTCTTTGCTCTAAATATAAAAACAAACAACAGTGACTGCTCTAATCAAAGCAGTAATTACACGTTGCCCAAAAAATGTACAATGCATCAAGACACTTAGACAGAGCCTAGAGTTATTTTACTGATGAAACACCAACTACCCATAGCACATGCAGAAAACATTCAGAGAGAGTCAGAGAAATGGAGTTGTACCTGATGGAGTAACATAAAATTTCTTGGCACAGAACAGTAATTTCCATAACACAGCACACAAGGGATTTCTACTTGCACAAATTAAGCCCCCGCATGCTGACTGATGTGTCATCATGCACAGAATTTAACTGGGATAGCCCAAGTCTCACGTAAGTCACTGACCACTTTATATTGTAAGTTACTTGAAACCTCACAGGTGTACAGAGCTCTCTTCCAACAACGCAAATGGACCTAAATGTAATCCTCCAAAGAAGAGTGCACAAGATCAATTTTTTCTTTATCTGTCCTAAAGAAAAACATCAAATAGAAGGTTTATAGAAAATAATTATAAAGTAGAGTTTTTCCTCCTAGTCTTCTTCAGTTTCTCAGCTTTGATGTCTCTCAGATTCATACTTTCCAGGGTATTTTTCCTTTTTTTTTCCTTAGAAGCACATTAAATTCTCCAGAAATGGGGGAAGGCAGCAGAGGCCGATCTGCTGACCACATACTCCCAATATATGATTCCTAAGACTTCCTCTTAGTGACATTTCTGAAGTGGAAAGTCAATGACTATCATAAACAAAAAATCTGTAATCCTAACTCCTCCTTCCACTCAATTTTTCATGCCAGTGTGGACCAGTGTGGAAAGAGAGGGCCTCCAGAGTATCAGCTTCGGTAGACGAGGACATGCAGGATAGTGTGAAACAGTTGGAAGGCCAGATTTAAACATGTAACCTGAAACGCTGGAAACCAGAACTCACGGTGGGACTTAGCAACAAAATCAACAATATAGGCATGGCATGACATGTGATCACCAAAGCAGAGGCAAGGTTGCTTAAATATAGCCTCTGTAGGTATTAGAATATTTCTGAGAAGTACACATCAAGCACGAGACAGATGCTACTAATAAGTAGAGCTTTAGACATTTATTTTTGTATTTAAATATCCAGCTATATTTATCTGAAAGATTTAACCACACCATTCTTGACTGAAAGGTATGCCAGTTACTTACTGCTGTCTAGACAAAAAGATTTAAAACTGCAAAAGATAAAACCTTTACAAAAGAATATGGAAAAGTGCTTTAAGAGTCTATGAGAAAGGTAGGTTCTCTACACTTTAGTCTCCAGAGCTTCGGCTTTAAGAGCTTTGTCTATTGAAGAACTCAATATATTAATTGCTTTGTAAAGAGTTTGCTTTTGCTTTTTCTTGAATCTAAATTGTTTGTGCTTGGGGGAGATGCCAGTAAGTTATAAAAATTCTGGAAAGCTGGGAAAGATCAAATCATCTCATAGGTATAAGTACTGTCTGATGATCACCTGGCATCTTTGGAGTCGTGATCGCGGTGTGGTGAAACACTTCAAACTAGAACATAAAGATATGAATCATCTACAGTGAGTAAGCTGTCCCACTTCCAAACTTCTTGAAAAAAAATCCAGACTATCTGGACACTCACCCTAAGTGTTTGGACAGCTTCAAATGATCCTGTGATCTCAGTGAAGAAATTGTTCTTGAAATGAGTTACACATTTCACCTCTATTTTTAGCATAACCATAAACCAGACCTGCTAAACAGAGGTTTCCCAATCTCTGCTACAGTAATTTGGTACCATGTGGTGCATAAAACGGGAAGGAAGCAGCATACAAAAGACTTACCACAGACATAAAGGAGCAGAGAGGTCTGAAGCATTCCCTTAAATGCTACATATTCAGAAATACTTATATTTCTGTATAGGGCAAATATTTCTGTACCACTGTTTCCTTGCATTTCATTTCTGGCCTAAACAGATGAGAAAATGAGAGCAGTTCATATGTAACACTTCAGAACATCAAGTCCCTACTAAAAGAGAGAGTTCTGGGTAGGCACAGCAATCAATTTGTACAATTTGCTCCTTGGTCTCTCCATTTACATTGCACAAATGATGTCCTGAGAGAATAATGTATGACATAGCCCAGATGGTAAAAAGCAAGCGTTCACTCTGTGCAACTAATTTCTACCATTATGCTGGGAAGGATACTGAGCTTCAGGTC